GACCTTTCCTCTGGACGGATGGGCCTATCAAGATACTCAGCGTCTGGTTCGGTCCTGATCTCCAGTTGGAAATGAACTGGTCGGAGGTACAAGGGAAGGCCGAGATCGCGGTTAATCTGAGGTCTCGGAAAAGACTTTCCCTGAAGGGAAGGGCGGAAGTGTGTGTTTCACACATCCATCCGATCCTCCTGTACCGACTCTCTGTGCTTTTACTCCCGTATGCCCGACTAATGTCATTAGTCCGGACCTTGTTCTCTTTCTTGTGGAGAGGCAAGGCCCATATGGTATCTCGCGAGGTCTGTTGCCTTCATCCCTCTGAGGGCGGTCTGGGTATGCCTAGCATTGAGATTCGTCAATATATGCTTCGCATTACCTTTCTAGACCGAATGTGTCGCGGGTCGGATGAGGAGGGCGCCTTTTGGAAAGATTTCCCGTCCCTGAGAAGTGTGCACTCGTGCGAAGAAGAGGCCGGCCGTACACCACGTGACGAGTGCGCCTTCTATCGTGAATGTCGTCGCGCTCTGAAGCGCCTCTTACGGGTTTCGGATGGCCTCTCCAACGCCCAGGCGTTGTCTCGCAAGGCATTGTATCAAGTGTTAGTGGGGCCGTAGAAGATGATCTAATTGGCGAGCTCGGTCTTACGAAGCAGGAGGCTCGCTCGATATGGCCTTGGGCGCCCGGGTTGAAATGCCTCAATAACGATGAGGCATCACTCACCTGGCTGGTGATTCGTGAAGCCATCTGGGTCGGCAAGAGACTTTGTTCAGCAGGCTTGGAGAAATATCCAAACTGTCGTCGCTGTACGGGGAAGTCGAGACCATTGGTCACGCCTTCTTTCAGTGCAAGGCAGTAGTGCCGTTGTGCAGGTTTGTTGAAGGCCTCATGGTTCGCATGCTGCAGGGAAAGTTCTTGAAGCCTGTTCTGTTTGTAGCAATGTGGTGCCGCAGATGACGAAGGCTGAGCACTATGTGTTCTGTTGCTTGCTAGGGGTCATGAGAGTCGTGATTTGGACGACGCGTCAGAAGGGATTCTATGTGGGCGAGAAGTTCACTTCTTCCCAACTGATCTTGTACTTTAAGCATCAGCTTAAAGTCAAGATTAGGACGGAAAGGCGGCGGCTCACCTCATCAGAATTTGGCAAAAGGTGGGTGAATCTTGCGCGTATGTGCCGAGTAAAAGGGGCTGACCTTGAGTGGCATTTGGATGCCGGTTAGGCATTAGGATATTGTTTTCCTGGGTTCAACATAGGCAACCCATCCCGGAATTAGGTTAGATTATGTTTTTGTATTTTTTCTTTTAGTTTTTCTTTCCTGTTCTGGTAAACTTAGCTAGGGTGTATTTGCTCATTGGTCCCTTTTATTTCTGTCCCCATTTTCTTTTCCTTTAGTTTAACTCCCCATCCCCTCCCTCGTTTAGGTGGTCAGTGATGTCAGTTCTCTGGTAGATGCGGGGCGCATTTCGTTTCGTGTGTGTGTTTTCGTATTTGTTGTTGTGTATGAATGAGTGTGTGCCTGTGTGAATGCTTGGGAAGAATGAGTGTGGCCTTATTTTCATAAGTCCCGCATTGATTTCGTCCGGTTAACTGATATTTCTGCCACATTCAAAAGTTTGTGGGGGGGTTTATTACTAAGACTATTTTTGTTTGGTTTCTTGTAAATATATTTTGTCATTTTATATATATTCATTGGGGATCTTTTTAGAAATTGTTGTTTTTATGCCCCCCCCCCACTCAGACAACACTTGTACATAAGGAAAGTATTTAGGTTTTTCCTTGAGTCAAAGAGGCATTTTGGTGTATGTAGTAAGAAAGGTATGGATAAATGTGTTGTTTTGGTGAAAGGAATATTGTTCTGTATGATAGGGTCAGTGGTTGTGGCTAGCTAAGTTTTATATTAAGACAAGAGATGACCGTCTATTACCCCAACCCCCCTTTTTGGCCTTGTGCCGCATTTATTGTATATACAATAATAAATAGTGTCGGTCAGTCAATCGACTGGCTGATCGGTTGAACTCTCTGCCTTTGGGCGGGGAGGAACCCAAAGGAGGCTACGCCGAAGGGCGGATTCTCTTTCGGGGAGGTAAACCGACCCTGAACCCGTTTATACGGGTTCAATGAGAATATTTTTGGACGAGCCCACGGGCTCGGAGATCCCACGTTAAAAAGGCCTTGTGGCACATGACGCCCTCGTGGGGGGGGTGACTGAATATCGTCGGTCAGTCAGTCGACTGGCTGATCGGTTGAACTCTGGCGGGGAGGAACCCGATGGAGGCTACGCCGAAGGGCGGATTCTCTTTCGGGGAGGTAAACCGTCCCTGAACCCGTTTATACGGGTTCAATGTGCCTATTTTTGGGCCGAGCCCACGGGCTCGGATATCCCACATTAAATAAACTATCTTGTGTCACATGCTGCCCCAGTGGGGTGGTGACTGAATATGGTCAGTCAGTCAGTCGTTCGCGTCTCGACCAGCTGTTAGGTTGAAATCTCTGCCTTCGGGCGGGGAGAACCAGAAAGAGGCTACGCCGAAGTTTGGATTCTCTTTCGGGGAGGTAAACCGACCCCGAATCCGTTTATACGGGTTCAATGGGCATATTTTTCAATGGGCATATTTTTGGCCGAGCCCACGGGCTCGGAGATCCCACGTTCAAAAGGCCTTGTGCTACATGGCGCCCTCATGGGGGTGGTGACTGAATATTGTCAGTCGAGTCAGTAGTTCAAGTCGAATCAAGAGTCAAGTCATAGGTAGTCCGAAACAGAGTCGCGTTCAGACAATTACTGCAAGGCATTGGAGTTATGATACTGGTCGAGACTACATTGTTCTCTCTACTAAACCTGATTGTTCATACTAACACTTCTACTTCTCTGTATATATTCCTGCTTGTAATATATCTGTGTTATTCCATATCCGTGTTCGAGTTCTTCTTTATTGGTTCTACCTTGGACTATCACCGTGGTACAAGGAACCGGACCATACCAATGGCTCTCCACTACTTCCTGTCCATTATAACTCTCAGCAACGTTTTACTATTTTACTATCTGTTCTTGGAAATATATCTTTCATAAACACTTTGATAAAAATAAATAGTTTAAAGTATTACGATAATATTTATTATTATGCAGTTAAATTTATATAATTAATAATCTATATCTATAGTTCTCAGGATGTGTGTGTGTGTGCGCGCGCGCACGTGATCGGATGTTGTTTTATGCATTTCCACAGTTTCCATCCGATCTTGTTTGATAGATAATTCTTTAGTCCCAGATTGATTTGAAAAAAAATACAACCTTGAAGATGAAAAATCGAAAAAAATGATTTTTTACACTTTGCGAAAAAATCAAAAGGCAACATTTAATGTCTGTAAAAAAACAGCGTACAATCAATTTAGAGTTTGAAAATCTAACGCAAAATAAATATTTTCGTATATTATTATTATGCAAGATTGAGAACGCAAACACTGCCTTTTTCAGGGCCACCCCAAATTCAAAATGTTAACCCCCCCCATTTGGGGATGTGCCTCAGTTACACCCAGTTGTTGTTACTAATATTGATTTTCAGGTGGGATGACTTTAAACTTAAACTGCTCCAATTGAACAGAAAAAAATCACCAGTAATGAAACACCCAGTCGAAGATGGGTTATACTGTTAGTATGTTAAGTCCGACAATTATTTTAATATATGTTCTGTTTTATACGTTATTTTTTATAGATATAATTTTAAAAAAATCCTTTGCTTTTTTTAATTAAACAGTATTGATTATATTTACCGGCCTGAATGTTCGAGAAATTTCGTAGAAAATATTTGGTTCTCCGACAGGAATAAAACCTGTAACCTTAATTGGAACCATTTTTTGATATGACGTGCTGTTAACCATTCACCCACAAAGAAACGATTAGATAGCAAAGTCCAAATTACTGTTTATAAACATACACCTTCGACAATTTTTCTCGCTCGGTCATATCTACTCACGAAACATGTTAACTACGACAACATATTACGAAATTGATTAAGTAAATGCTCTATTAAAGAGTATTAATAAACAATTATCCTCCAAGAGTTACAGGTTCGATTCCTAGAAGTTTTCAACGAAGTTTCACAAACATTCAGATCGGTAAATCTAATTATTATTGTTTAATAAAAAAAAAAGAAAGAGAAAAAAATACTTAAATAAGTTATATCTATAAAATAACGTATATACAGAAATGTATATATATGAAACTATAGACAATTTTTAATCGCGACGTCGACTTATATATATATATATATATATATATATATATATATATATATATATATATATCTGCTCCTGAAATTAATTTCAGTTGAGCACTCTGGGGGAGGTGTGGGTTGGTAAACAGTGACTATTATAGCTATATAGCGAGACTCTTCAATATAAAGCGAATTGAGTCACTGTCAGTCACTGGGCATGTTTCTAAAAATAAATATGCTAAAAATCCACCTTCTTCCCTACCGTGCGCTTAGTGGTTAGAAGCTCCGACTGACACCAATTCAGTCGGGTTTCGATCCTAGATAGAGGCAACCGGATGTCTAGCCACACTGATGAGCTGTAAACAGCGAAACAGTCTGTCTGTGGATGACGTTATATATATATATATATATATATATATATATATATATATATATTCAGAAAATCTGAGTAGGTATTTGAAATGAATCGATGTCTCGGGTAATCTGTCTTACCTGATTTGGCCATTGAAAAATGTCTTGTTGCATACGTAGGTTTCTACCATTGCGTCTGTCTTTTCTATTAATTACTACAGTAATAGATTAATAGAGAGAGAGAGAGAGACATATAAAGAATAAAAGTGAGTAATGCAGCATTAAAGTAAAGTCAGAAAACGAGAGAGGGAGAGAAACAGATATATATAGAGAGAACAGTAAAATGTGTCATGCGGTACTGGAATAAGTGAGAGAGAATAATAGAGAGAGAGAGAGAGATTCATATAAAGAACGAGAGAGATAGAGAAGGGAGCCATACCATATTAGAATAACATAGGGAGAGAGAGAATCAGATAGTCACACAGTATTAAAATAAGAGAGAAGGCGAAAGAGAGAGATATAGAGGGAATGAAAAAACAGATAAAGATGCACAGAGAGAGAGAGAGAGAGAGAGAGTTCGGCAAAGAATCTGAAAGATTTAAACAGATATGATAGAAAAAAGAGAGCGAGAGACAAACAAAAGACAAAGTTGCAGAGAGTGAGAGAGAGAGAAAAAGAAATAGATAATGTTGCAGAGAGGGAGGGAGAGAGAGAGAAAAAGAAATAGATAATGTTGCAGAGAGGGAGGGAGAGAGAGAGAAAAAGAAATAGATAATGTTGCAGAGAGGGAGGAGAGAGAAAAAAGAAATAGATAATGTTGCAGAGAGGGAGGAAAGAGAAAAAGAAATAGATAATGTTGCAGAGAGGGAGGAGAGAGAAAAGAAATAGATAATGTTGCAGAGAAAGGAAATAGATAAATAGATAATGTGCAGAGAGAGAGAGAAAAAGAAATAGATAATGTTGCAGAGAGGGAGGGAGAGAGAGAGAAAAAGAAATAGATAATGTTGCAGAGAGGGAGGGAGAGAGAGAGAAAAAGAAATAGATAATGTTGCAGAGAGGGAGGGAGAGAGAGAGAAATTAACAGATGAAGTAGCAGAGACAGAAGGCGAGAGAGAAGGAAACAGATAAAATGGCCGACAGGTAGAGAGAGAGAGTAAGCAACAGATAAAGTGGTAGAAAGGGGGGCAGAGAGAAAGAATTAGATGAAATGGCAGAGCGAGAGAGAGAGAGAGAGAGAGTCAGTCTAAAATCATAGTATTATACGCTATTATAATAGAAGAAAGAGAGTGATAGATACATAACGACAGAGAGAGAATTACATATACAGTGTAACCCGGATATAAGAGAGTTGTCAGGACCGGAGAAGAAGTCTCTTATATCCGGGATTCTCTTATATCCGGGTTTGGTCTATTTTATATATACATTAACACAGGCTCTAATTTGGGACCAGATAACATCTCTCTTATATCCGGGTTTCTATTATATCCGGGTCTATTATATCCGGGTTACACTGTAATAAGAAAGTGTCATAGATCACTAAAATAAGAGACATAGTAAGAGAAAAGCAGAGGGTGGGATAAGCAATCACAAAGAGAAATATTATACGAGTAAGAGAGAGCGAGAGAGATGTAGATAGAGAGCGAGAATCAATTAATAAGGAAGATAAACATACAGCATTAGAATAAGAGGGGGTAAGAAAGAGAGAGATAAAGATAGATATAGAGAAGGAAGGTCAAGCACAGAATCCAGTATTAGCGGAAGAGGGGGAAACAGAATAAGAGCGAGAGAGAAAGGGGAGAGAAGCAAATAATCTGAAGGTAGTCATACAGAGAAAGATAAACGGTTATAAAGAGAGACAGGGAATTAGAAAAAAAAAGCATACGAAATAAGAGAGGGGGGGAAGAGCAAGAGAAAGAGAGAGTCAGAAAGTGAATCATATAGGCTACGAATAAGAGAGAGAATGAGAGAGAGAGAGGAAAGAAAATAATTAGAAAGAATGAGAGAGAGAAAGAGAGAGAGAGAGAGACACAGAAAGAGAAAAGAAAATAATTAGAAAGAATAAGAGAGGAATACAGCCAAATTGAAATAGAAAGAGAGTCAAATAGTCAGAAAGTGAGTCATACAGGAGTTATATAGGATCCGAATAAGAGCAAGAGAGAAAACAAAAGAATTACAAAGAAAACTAGTATTAGAGAGAGAGAGAGAGAGAGAGAGAGAGAGCAAGACAGATACAGCTATAGAGAAAAAGAAAGAGAGAGTCAAACAAATAATCCGTAATACAGAATGGAAACAAAAAAAAAAAAACAGTAAAAGAGAGAGAGAGAGAGAGAGAGAGAGAGAGAGAGCGGGGGACATGTAATCCGATGAGATTCATATAATCTTAGAAAAAGAGAGAGGGAGTGAGAAAGTGAGAGAGAGGAAGATGCAGATAAAGAGAGAGAGAATCAACAAATCAGAAAGAGAATCATTCATTATTAGAATGAGAGAGAAAGAGACAGTTAAATACAGAGACAGATATATATATATATAGGGAGAAAGAGAGAGTAAAACAATAGTCATCCTCTATTAGAATAAGAGAGAGGAGAGCGGGAGCTAAAGAGAAGCATATATATATATATATATATATATATATATATATATATATATATATAAACAACAAATAATCCGAAGAGAACCATACAGTATTAGAATGGGAGGAGAGAGAAATGAGAAAAAAGAGATGGAGAATACGAAAATACATATAGAAAAAGCGCGAGAGAGAGAGAAAAGGGGGAGGGAGAAGGAGAGATCAAGAGAAAGCGCACTAAAGAAAGAGAGAGTCAGATAAAGAATCACAAAGAGGATTTTAGAGTGTTAGACACTGATTATATGAGAGCGAACCATCGTCAAAGAATCTAATCACTTAATGGCATTGCCTCTCCCAAGATCACTGTCAGTTTGCCAATTCTCAGCATTGATCATCAAATACCGGCCGCCGGAATCGATCTCGAATTGCCAGCGTGTCCCAATCAGTGCTTTTGTAGAGACCTCTTCAAATTATAAGCAACTACATCCGTTACGTCAATCGCAGGAGCTAAAATAAAATGGCCGTCCGCACACTTCCGGTTAAAGTTCTTTTGATCAGGACATTTACAAGTGCAAGTCGAAAGTACCCACATCCGGCTTTTCAAACAGCCGGTCTCAGAGCCGACCCACTCACACGAATCGGTCAGAGGAGCACAGAATCAAGCAAGATGAGAATATTGACGCATGGAAACAGAAAACCGCCCGATTCACAGGAGAGAATCCGAAAATTGTTACACAGATTTACACGCAAACGAAAATAAAGTATTTATTTCGACCATGTCTATTCTCTTTCGAGTTGTGGCTTTTCAATCCCATCAGACTGCAGTGGGCGGAGCCTATTTAGAAGCCAACCTTCATCTCGTATCGTTACGATGAGTCAGTCCGCTAAGCCTATCCACTCACAATGGCTACTAGATACCCATAAATATCTGAAAATCTATAGCTCATGATTGGTATTCTAAAACAAACAAGATAGATTTGTAAGAATATAAAAGGGACATTAATACAAGTATTGATTCCTGACTACTGATTATCTCTGTCTTCCTGATTCCCAATGCATTTCTATAGGAAAATTATCAACAATAGATTTACGTTAAGCAAGCAATAGCAATTTCTTTAAATAATACTTGCATTCACATCATTGAGAATCCATTTGTTATTGATTATTAAGAATCGATTTTTATTATACATATAGTAAATAGCCTTTTTCTGGATGTAATAATTACCTTTTCTTCTTAACCACTAGCCAAAAAAAAAAAATGCTATTACTTAAAAGAGTAAATAGTTGATACATCCTGAAGAGTGGATTGAGCGGTTTGCCTACGAACCTCTGGAGTGGGGATGCTGAAGATAACATCAATCAGCCAAATGACAAATTTTACTCACATTAAAACCCGGATATAAGAGACCCGGATATAAGAGAAACCCGGGTATAAGAGAGATTTTCTCTGGTCCCAAATTAGAGCCTGTGTTAATGTATATAAAATAGACCAAACCCGGATATAAGAGACTTCTTCTCCGGTCCCGACAACTCTCTTATATCCGGGTTACACTGTATTTAATACATCAAGATAAAAATGTCAATGTGTGCAGAGGAATACAATTGTAGAAAGATGAAAGAAATAAACATTTCTATAAATTTAACAAATTAAGTTATATTTAAATAATGTTCATATTAAACAAAATAATAAAATATTCGATCAGCTGTTAAGAAAGTTGGTTCACTGTGTCGTGCGAGACAATTTTCCTCTCCAGAATCTGTCTTATATATCTCTAAGTCTACAATTCGTCTATGATTAGAATATTGCTGCCATATATGGTCCATTGCCCCTGCTATTTACCTTGAGTTCTTTGAAAAAATCCAAATAAGAATCAGCAATATTATCGGTCCTGGTCTGGCGATTCGTCTTAAGTCCCTTTACTACCGCCATGATGTTGCCTTTTTTTATAAATAATTTCATGGTAATTGTTCAGATGAGCTCTTAGCTGTGGTACCTAGACTTTTGGAATTTAAGCGCAGTACTAGACTGGCACCGAAATCTCTTTGATTTACAGTTGTATTGACAAGATGTAACCATAAATTCTATGTTAACAGTTTCTTTTCTCGCACATTTTGCTTGAAGAAGTTCTTTCTTGCACCATGCTTTCCAGATAATTTTAATCTGCAAAAAAAATAATTTCAATATCAATCGCTATCTGCTGTCTTCATTCGTTTTTTCTCTTCCAGCTTATTAATAATGTTTCTGTTCCTAACACTTTTACACTCTGTAATCCCTTGTGTCTTAGTAGATCTACTGCTTTGCGTGGGGTGAAATCGATTTAAAAAATAATTTGAAAAATAATAAAAATGATGATAATATAATAAACAATATTAATAAAAAAACTAATAAAAAATTTGAAAAAAAATAATAAAAAATTGGTTGACTCAATTACTAAATCTGCAGTTCAGAAAATTGTTTCAGTTAGAGAATTACTCTCGCCGGAATCTATCTTAGGTATTTATATGTCTAGCACTCATCCATGCTTCACAAATTGCTGAAACATATAGTCTGGTGCTTCTGCTATATATCTAGATAGCCATGATAAAATCCAAAGAAGTATCTACGATGTTATTGGTGTGTGTATATTGGGTTAATAAATTAATTGAAAAACTACAAACATTAAAAAAAACAAAAAAACAAATAAACAAGTATTTCTTTTCCAGCAGGAACACTTTCATATCAAGGCACTTAAACCGTGCTAATCTTTATTATAATTGCAACACAGCTTTAGTCATTTTGCCGACGCCATAATGTAGCTTTCCTGTACCTTTTCTATAAATTCTTTCATGATAATTGTTCTGATGTACTTTCCTCTATTATTATTTCTATTCACCACCCCTACATAAAATTGGACATATGGGAACTAGCCAAGATTTCATAGAGACATGAGGTATTATGGTGACTGTATTAACAATGGTAAGGATGTATTTTTGGGTGTAAAGAATACTGTAGTATGTTTGGGTCAGTAATCGTGGCTAACTAAATTTAAGATAGGACAGATTAAAAACCAGCCCTCCTCCATTTCCTCCTTTGGACTTGTGCCACATTTTTTAAGAATAAATTTTATTTCTTTTTTATGATACTTAGGATTTATGAATTGAAGCGCTGTACTAGATTTGCGGAAAAGTCTCATCATTTTACAGATAAATTGGCTAGATGTAATCATATGTCCTTTCCTAAGAGTCTCGTTTCTCTCCCTTCTCGACTGAGAAACTCATTTTGCTTTCCAGGCAACTTTGATCTTCAAAAATTTAATCGTAATGTCAATCGTTATCTACTGTATTCTTGATTCTTCTTCTTTTATTGTTCCCGCTCCTTAAAATATCTCTCCTTTATCTGATTTTATCACACTCTGTAACTTCTTGGGTCTTAGCGGCTTTACTTCCTTGCTTGGGGTGAAATGATTTAAAAATTTAAATGAAATGTCAATCGCTATAAACTGTTTTCTTAATTCTTTCTTTTTTATTATTCTGTCTCCTTAGAAATATCTCCTTTTCACTGATTCTTTTACATTCCGTAACCTCTTGTGTCTTAGTGGTTTTATTACCTTAATTGGGGTGAAATGATACAGAAATTAAAATGCAATGGAATTCGTTATCTACTGTCTTCTTGATGCGTCTTTTTTCTTGTTTCGCTTCTTCATAATGTTTTTCGCTTTTCTTATTTTTTCACACTAAGTAACTCTTTGTGTATTAGTAGCTTTATTGGCTTACTTGGGGTGAAATGATAAAAATGAATGAAAAAAAATCATAATAAAAATATTCATAATAGTTGCATCGAAATATACATCAAATATCGTCAACTAGCAGTATAACCCGTCTTCGACCGGGTCTTTCGTTACTGGGAACTTTTACCGTTCAGTTGGAGCAGATTCAGTCAGCGCATCCGAAAATCAATATTAGTAACAACACTTGGAGCAACGGAGGCACATCCCTAAATGGGTGCCAGGTAACAATTTGAATGGATGGTGGGACTGAAAAGGTCCGTTTTGGGGGTTTTAATCTTGCAAAAGATGGTACCTATTCCATGGAGCGAAATAATAATAATATACGATAATTCTTTATTTATAATATAATTTTTTTTTAAATAATTCTAATAATCTTTTGCGTTAGACTTCAATTATCTAAATTGATTGCGCGCTGTTTTTTTAGAGACATTAAATTTTGCCTTTGATTTTTGCGCAAAATGTAAAAAAAAAAAACAGTTTTTTTTTTATTTTACACTTACAAGGTTGTAATTTTTCCAGACAATTTAGACTCAAAACCGGCAGTGAAGAATTATCTATTAAAAAACAACATCGAAATCGGATAAAAACTGTAGAAACGAATAAACATCCGAACAAACACACACACACGCACACACACACACACACACATTTTTAGAATTATAGGTACAGATAATTTGACGATCCAAATATCAAGTAATTTTTCATTTGTATATGAAATAATCATATACTATTAGAATAAGAGAGAAAGAGGTGGGAAGACAGAAGGAAGAGAGAGGCGGGAAGAGAAAGAGAGATGGAGGGGAAAGAGACGGGCAACAGAGAGAGACAGAGAGAGAGAGAGAGAGAGAGAGGGAAGAGAGAGAGGGGGAAGAGAGTGAAAGAACAAACGAAAGAAGGTAAAGGAATAGAAAGTTAGTTAAAAATTCAGAAAAAGGATTTTACTATATTACAGAGTGATTGAAAAGTAACATTTTTTCTTTCTTAGTATGAGTGACCAGCCAGGAGAATTGGCTTAGCACCCT